TCCCTAGCAAGATTCTCTCTCTAGTATGTCTCTCCTTTGCAAAAAATATTCACATGCTGGAGTAACTTCTAAGAATAACTTCAATGCAACACTTTACATAATATTAATTTGTTATCTCCCATTGGTGATTTGTCCACCTATATCTTAATTTTTTTTTGTTTTAGTAGAACTGGGGTTTGAACTCAGGGCCTCACAATTGCAAAACAGGTGCTCTGCTGCTTGAGCCATGCCTCCCCCACTTGCATATCTTAATTATATATAAGCTCATTACCATCTGTACATGGAAATAACAAATGAAGTTTTACTTATAAGTTGGGTTCCCAACACGATCTTCAGCCAGTCATCTCCCAGTATTAACCATCTATTCTGTAGACAAACTACTCAAAAGATCTCCCCTGGTGTCTTTATATCAGAGTTCATTTTAACCCATCTTCTCCTGATCCTTCTAATTAAAACTCCCACCAAATCTTCCTCTAACTGTTCAGGTTCTTGTTCCTCTCCCATTGCATATACTGCTTTTTGAAGTCTGGCATTAATATCCAACATTAGGCCCCAAAACCCACATTATAAGGTCTTACGATTTCCCATTCTGGAAAACATGATTTCTTATCCCATCTGCCCACTCCACTTCTCCTACTCTTAATTCTTCTTCATATGGTACTCCCAATACACTGTTCTCAGTCTCTTTCCTCTTTCATATTTTATATGATCTTTGATACACTGTGGTTCCCTTTCCCTCTTGTTAATACTTGTCCATCTTCACATGACCCCATCTTTTCTGTGGGCTCTTCCACTCGTTTGAGCACTTGACCCTACAACACCTATGTTACCCACATAGTTCCTTTTTTCCCATCATCTATCTTTATGTCATTCTCATGAATTCAGTAGTCTTTTCTTTCATTTCCTTGCCTTTTCACACTACTCTGAATATATTTACATTCTCAGTTTAGTCCAGACCTTCATAGAGTTCCTGCAATTGGCCATGGCTCAGATCTATTTCAACTCTTTGACCTTTCAGTCTATTGGTCCTATTTGTTGCTTCAAATATCATTTAAGCAAAGATTCCAGATGGCACTCCTTCATAACACTAATTCTTATTTAGCCACTTTTTTACATTTTCTGTCTTTGGTTGTAATCTAGCTTAACTCACATCTTTCTACTGCATTCTCAACTCTGCCACTTTCCCATATTACTCATTCTGGCCCTCTGTAATGCCCTTCCCTACCTACATTTTGTAGGTCCCCCATCCCCAGACCTAAACCCTGCCTGTTTTCTCCTTTTAGCTTCTGGCCTCCATCTTCCAGCTGTGACATTTTTGTATAAGTCTCTCTAGGAAATATGTGTCATTTTTAACCAATCTCCACAAAGCAGGGGTATCTTCTGTGAGAAACTCTTTAATGGCACACCATGCAATAACCTGCAGTATCTTAACTGCCATCATTCACTTTCCATCTCTCTATAGAATACATGGATGTAGTGTTCTTCTAGCAGATATACTTGCCTCTCATGATCTTCACTCATTTCCCCATCTAATAGCAATAATCCATTCTCTGGACAAACTTTTCCTAACACCCTTTAATAAATAAGCCTAATACCTCTAAAGTTGTCAGCAATAGTTTTATCAGCATTCATCTTAATCAGCTTCCTTATATTATAAACCAGAATCCTTTAATTATTTCAACCAAATCCTTAAATTAATGATTCCCTCCAAAGCTTCAAGAGCTAGTCTACTGCTGCCTCCTACTCAAGTCCTTCTTCCTCATCAGTCTATTTCCTGTGACCTTGCTGCCCAATATGTGACCAATTAGACCTAGTTTGACCTCTAACAAGACTCCTCAATTTTTTTTTTTTTTTTTTTTGCAACACTGGGGTTTGAACTCAGGGCCTCAGGCTTGCTAAGCAGGCATTCTTTACCACTTGAGCCACACCACCAGTCCAAGACTCCCCATTTAAGATCTCTATTCCAAACCTGCTCCCTGTCAACCCTCTACCATACATTTCCATTCCCTTGTTTATAATTTACCTTTTCTTTCTTATTCCCTCCTGACTTAAATGGCCCTGGAATGCTATTTTACTTTTCTAGGTAACGTCTGTCATTCCTTATTGTCTGACTTCATCTGTTTCTAACTTTATTGTTGCTTTTCTGTACTGTTCCCCCTTTCCCCATTTACCCTAGAGAAAAACAAAAGTGTAGCATTCCCATGGATGTTGGGTAGTTATCTGCTGCTTATTTTTGGCAATCATTGTTCAATGTGCTTTCATCTTCCTTGATTTTCTGCACACTATACTATATCTGCTCTTCTCAGGTCAGTCCAGACCTATGTGGATTGCTGCAGTTAGCCTATTTCAGATCCATTCATTTTTTTCTTTTTCTACCCTTTTCACCTAATTGACATACCCTTTTCCTTTAATTATTATTCTGACAGAGATTTCTGGAATTTCTTCATAACCCCTTTTTTCTTTTGTCATAGTCTTCCTTCCAGTGGTGGAGATCTGACAACTTCCTCCCAAATTTCTATTCATATATTTGCTATAGTACATATTCTGCACACCAGCAAACAATTCACACATCCCTCCTTACTTAGCTGCCAGTACCCATCCTTTCTCCAATTCTGTATTCTTTTCTACTGATTTCAGCAGATCATTAGATCTGCTCATTTTCAGCCAGTCCTCTCAAGATAAGCTTTATTTCTGAGAACAATTTTAATGTAGGTCTTCAGGGCATACTTTCCTTGTTCTCTTTGGTTATTTTCCTTGCCTTATTCATGAAGCTCTCATCTTTAGAGTATGATACTGGATTCCATATTGTGCTCTTGCCCTGGAAAAGCCCTTCTCTTCTCCTCCTGTCAGTCATCCTCTCTAGCTACACTGATAGATTACTACTGGAGTTCACCTAGAGTCCCTGTAACCTCTCACTGTACCAACCAAACCATTTAAGAATTTGCCACAAAGACATCAGGAACATTTTCTCTACTAATACCAGTCTTATTATTTCCTCAATCTTTTTCTCTGTACATCCTCTCTCTTTACTTCTACATAAATTCAGTGTCCATGTTCTACCATTGATTTTGTCTCTCCTTATTCCTCTTCCTCATCTGCCTTATTGCTTCCTGGAGCTCAGATGAGTTACTACTTAATCTCTATCCTGACTCATCATTCTACTTGATCATGACCTTGTCAAGAGCTTTGTCATAATCTCTTCTTGCCTTCATTGGAAAAAAATATATACCTCAGCTGACCTACTCTGGGATTGTATTAACTTCTGCGTTTTCCTCTTTCTGCAAAAGAAAATCCTACCTTAATTTAACTACAGTCATTCTTTCATCAGTCCCTTATAGTATTGAAACAGGTTCTGTTGTCTGGATAGGAACACGCTGTTTCCTATATGGTCAACCTACTATCATCATCTGTTTTTAATACATTCTAGTGGATCTCTCTGCTCTCTGAATTCAGACCCATTCTTTACAGGATTCTTACTAGTGATTTGAATTAGTCACTATTTTATCTAGTTTATCTGTAACCTTTCAGTCTCTTGACTACCTCAGAGCTCATCATAAAATAATTTTAAATAAAAGGTATTTCACAATTTGTTGCTAAACAAAATCTCATCAGCACCTATGTTAGCATAACTTGCTGTTTCTAACTACTCCAGTGAATTTCTGGAGTCTTGCCTTTTGTTTATTACTTCCTCTGCTTGTCACGGCTCTCCTGCCATTTTTTGAGATCCAGCTAAATTATATCCTTTCACAATTTTTACAACTTCCCCAGGCTGTAAATCCTGAAACCTCACATAGCACTCTATTAAAATTTCTATTAAAGAACCTGTGGAGCCAGATGTGGTGGGACACATCAGTTATCCCAGCACTCTAGAGGCTGAGGCAGTAAGATCACAAGTTTGAGGCTGGCCTGGGCTACTAGTAGGACTCAGTCTCAAAAAAAAACAAACCAAAATAAAATCTATGCCATTGAGTTATGGTATCACAGCTATATAGATCGTACACACACCACACTTACTTAACTACTAGACCATGAGCTCTTGGAGACAAAGTTCATGTCTCAGTCATCTTTTTGTCTAAATTTTGTCTAGTACATTTGCTTATACCTTTACATATAATGTCAGCATTGGATGGATAAATGGATGAAATGTGAAATTAAAACTAAGCACATGCATTTTGCTACTCAAGCTGTCATGTATGTTCTTTATATACGAGTCTGTTCTTTTTTCTCTCTGCCTATCTCTCTCCCAAGTAACTTTCTGATACTCCAATTTCTAATACTTTTTGTACCTCCAAGCCTTCTCTAAACCATAGCTTAAACCCCAAATACCTTTTCTCCATCTATGCGAGCTAAATTCTTTAAACAGTTTAGAAAACCCTGTCTTCATAAAGACTTCCCTCTCCAAAAATGTGCCCGACTCCATTTCTTATGACTTCCACCAGTCATCTGAAACATGTAATTGCTCACTCACTTTTCCATTTTTAAGGTACTGCCTTTACCAGTACTAAAATATCATTATTGACCTACTCACTTCCAGTTGGAAACTGACTTAAAACAAGTTCATTCTGGTGATCTGTGGACTTACTGTCAGTCCACAATCTAGACAGTATTAATACTCTGATGTACTCAATGTCACTTTGATAATCTATATGCTTTTTGCCATCAGTGTGTTTGCTTTTGTCCTAGATTAGTAGTTGTTTATTTTTCAACATACAGGCCATTTTGACAGGCCTGGCAAAAAGCCCCCAAAAGTATCTCCCCTGCTGCTTTCTTCATACCAACACACAGTTTGCTCAAGGCCATTCTTTCTGTACCACTCTAACCCTCAATGTAGAACATCATACTTTGTGAGACTGTCTTTTTGACCCTCTTGCAAGCTGCTTTGAGAACGCTACCTAGAAACTGAGCATGCATATGTTTTGAAAATGTCAAGCACAGATGCTGCTATCTAAGTAATGATGCTTGAGCTACCTAGTCATGTGGGCTTGTCTTCTCTCTGCCAGTTGCATCTACCTTTAGTTGCACCATGAAGTTTACAGTGCGGGACTGTGACCCTAACACTGGAGTGCCAGATGAGGATGGGTACGATGATGAGTATGTGGTGAGTCTTCCCTGCAGACACTTCTGACACCTTTGTAACATTAAGTGACTTCTGCTATGAGAGAATTTTTCTAGGAACAGCTGACAGAAATGTAAGAGATTCCTCAAATGGATGACAACTTAGGAGAGCCAGGACTAATCCTCTTCTGTAATGGGATTGCATCATGCCAAAGAAAATTGAAATTTTCCACTTCATAAAGTGGGGGAAAAAGACCTTTTTCCTTATAATAGGGATAACCAAGATGAAAATAAGTAATGATTTTTTTCATGAGTTTATAATACATGAAGTTAGTTTTATTTCATGTGGGTTTTGTTTTGTTTTTTTGCTTCAGCAACTTTTAGTTGATATAATATAGCCAGATAGATCATGGAGTGAAAAGCCTTCACAGGAAGGAGGCGTAACTTTAAAAACATCAAGCTATTAATGAACACAGAGTTTAGAAGGTACTGTATGGCCTGAACCCCATGGTTGAGTGTGGCAACGTGACTGCTGTGACCTCAGGATTAGATGTTGATCCTGAATTTGGCTCTTGCCAGATGTCCTACTTTTCTTGCTTTCCTGTGCTAAGTCCTAGTAGCATTAGCTCTACCTAGACTATATACCTTAAAACTATTTTGGTAGGATTTTTTTCCTAGGCCCCTGCAAGGATATAGCACAGAACAATAAATGATTAGTTCCTTACATCTTTGTTCTGCACCCATAGGACTTTCATTCACTGACCCCTGCTTCTTGTCTACCAGCTGGAAGACCTTGAGGTGACTGTGTCTGACCACATTCAGAAGGTATTGAAGCCTAACTTTGCTGCTGCATGGGAAGAAGTTGGAGATACCTTTGAGAAAGAGGAGACTTTTGCTCTCAGCTCTACCAAAACCCTGGAAGGTGAGAACAATTTCTCTGCTACCATATTGCCTGATAGCAGTGTAAAGACTAAAAGAAATGTGTGCTTTTCCTTTTTCTTTGAATATTTCTTACCCATTTACTTAAAAGGCCAGATCCCTGTCTTCACCATCTAACTGTATCAGCCTTTTTCTAGGCCAGTAGCCTCCCTCCATACACCATCCACAACACTCTACACTTGCAGCTTCCAGGACTTGCTGGTGCAGAGGCTGATCCCACACTTAACTTTTCTAATACTATTGTAAAAATCTTCTCAACACAGAAGCTGTCAACAACATCATCACCTTTCTGGGCATGCAGCCATGTGAGAGGTCAGATAAAGTACCTGATAACAAGAATTCTCATTCGCTCTATCTGGCAGGTAAGAGACTTTCATCAGATTCTCTTATAGTTTGTTGCAAATTTTAATAGGAAGGAATTTGGATGGGCATCCCATAAATGAAAGAATATTGAGAAAGAATATGAGATACTGTCCCATCCGCTCATAATGTGCAACAATTTGAATCCCAGTCAAAATGAATAGTGGGTTTTTGCATGCTTTGTTTAGGTTATTCTTCTAAGATGTACATCTGGCTTAAAACATTTACTTAAATCTCTCACACAGATATCAATGCCATTCCCTGCCTGCCCCACACCACACACACGACCGTTAAAGTACTCCAAATCAGTATTATTAAATATGCTATGTACCTGGTTCTCTTGGAAATATTAAAGAAAAAGTTAGAATTTAAATGTAATATTCATTTCTCAACAGTTTCTACAAAAGCTAAACTAAAACAATAGAAAGGAGATGGAGACAGAATATGATAAATTTTGCTATTCAGAGCTTGTTTTGAGTTCCTAAAATGATTTTCCTTTTTTTCTCTCAGGTGTATACAGAGGTGGCTATGATTTATTGGTGAGGTCCAGGCTGGCCTTAGCAGATGGAGTGACCATGCAAGTGACTGTCAGAAGCAAAGAAAGAACACCTGTAGATGTTATCTTGGCTTCTGTTGGATAAGTTCTTTCTGGGCAAGATGAAGTTGATGTACACTTCCCTGTCAGTGGGCTTTTAGGCTAGTGGCATGAATTTCCCAGAATCACACACTTTGGAAAAGCAAATTAAATATTTGGCCCTGAGCCAGCAGATCAAGCAAATGTCTTTGTGTTTGGGTTTTGGTGTTTTTTGTTCTTGTTTGTTTTCTTTCTTTTTCTCACTTGGTCAGCTTTTGGTATGACTGCAGCTCTGGGTGATAATTGAAAATCAAATACTATTCTATACTCCAGCTGCCTATCTTCATTGTATTCTTTCTTTAATTTAATGTGTGAACGCTCCTGGCAATATTGGAAAATTTTATCCCAGAAGGGTGGTAGGGGAGGGGAAGCCAGAATCCACTTTTGTCACAATTCATTTTTATTAATAGAAAATAAACACTTATTCCAGTTTCAAAGTTGTTATACTTGAAGTTGCTAATTTTTAAAAAATGAATTTAAAATAACCCCTTAATAATCCTGCTTTTACTAAGACAATGAAACTGTGGCTTTAAAAAAAAAAGTATTCAGCACCATTTTCTCATAGGTCTTTCAGAATTTGTTCTTAAAGTGTCTGGGAAGTCTCCTGTCTGTAAGATACAGGAGTGGTTGAGCTCCATGAGAAAGCCTCCTCTGGGACAGCCAATGGGAAGCCACGCAGTCATCATAAGAGGAATCAGAGTATATTCAGCACAGTAACTGGGGTGGAGCAATGGCCCCCTCCCCTCCACTTTAGCTCAGGAGGAATGCTTCTAAGCACTGCAGCATGAGGAGTCAGACTCTTATTTGCTGGTAGGATTGTTCCTTCCAGCTAGTAACAGTAAATCTCTGGAAATTTACAGATTTTAGAAAATTCTGTAAATAGTTTGGATTTAGGTCAATTTATTCAGAAATTACATGTTTAATAAGGTTCACTACTCTGACAGGGGAAGGGTCTGTAGATTTAGTACCCTTATAAAATACATACATGTGTAGGCAAATCATAGTCTTAAAGAAAACTTCATTATTTAAACCAACATCTATTTTAACAGAAGTCTACAGTTAGAAGCAGCTGATGAAACTAAATCCTAAGTTATGACAGGAGATTCACTCTCACTCTAACTTAAGCAGGGTTGCTTAAAGAACTTTAAAACCATATGCCCTTAAAGCCACTGAAGGAGAGGTAAGCAAGCCCCTCTCCTCATCCTTTACTGCAGGATTCTAATTGGGGTAGGACAGAAAAGCCCACCGAAGTGTTTCAAAGTCTTTTATGCAAAAGAATTTCTAATGCCTGTCTTTCTGCATCAGTAAGAAGCATTGCTCACCAGAATTTCCTAATAACACAAAGACAAAAGGCAAGTCCATACACTTGATCAGATGTCACCCTTAGTCGGAGCTTCTGCTACCTTTTTTCTATATTCTATTCACCAATGTGAGTAAAGTGGACTTTTGTGAGACAACAGTATTTCATTGCCAGGACCTCTTTTGGGCATTTCTTCCTAAGTGGAATACACAACAGATATGGGAATGGGGGAGATAATACAGGGGAGCTACTCTTTCCAGCTCAGAAGGAGTTGATGAAGCCCATATATGCATTCAAGAAGCCCATGGGATCCTCTAGCTGTGGGTAGTGGCTAATGTGGTCATCCAGAATCGACACTGTGGACCGCGGCAGCGTTTTCCTAGTGGAAGAGAACAGCACGTAGGTGAACTTGAGGCTGGAGGAGGGGGGATGTAAGCCAGTGGGAAGCCCAGGTAAGTGCCCCTGCGGACATGCCACACTGGAAGGAATCAACTAGGAGCTTATTCACCTTCTACTTTGGAATTATGTCTTAAGCAAATAAACTTGCCAATTCCACTTAATACAAACTAGTTTTCGATTGTTCATAATCCTATAGACAACATCTTGACTATATAACTCCTCTGCAACAATTGTCAAAACGGGTGACTTTTAGTTCCTTAAGAGAAGCATGAAGCATCTAACAAATGGATCACTCAGCACCTCACTGCCAAAGCAAAGATAACAAAGACCTTCCTTAATATCCCTTAATGAGAGGGGTTTCCGTTTCAAATCAGAAGCAAGCTGTTTACTACTGGGTTGTGCCCACTAGGGCATAAGAAGGTATAGAACATTTTCTTGGGACACAGTCAAGATTTCATATTCCCATACCTTCAGAGTATATACCCAGAGGGAGTAAACAACCAATGAGAAGGCACTTTTTTCCACAGTAACCTGTTCTCACTCTCCTTACAGTCTGTTCAGTTTCAGTGAACTGGCTTTATAGTCAGTCTAAAGCAAACATTTAAGATATATCCACTTTCATTCTTTAGTTCACATGATAGCTGTTTCTTACCTCTATATATATAAACTAGCCATTACAGTGAAAACAGGCTATATTAAGAGAATGTATCACTGATTCTCTTAATCTTTACACTTATATAAGAGTAAGATTCCCCAATTCATCTTTTCATTATGTTTCCTGAGCGAACAGCCAATGAGGTCAAAGACAATGACTAGTGCCAGCAACCCTCAATAGTAATTCTGTTTACCTCTGTCAGGATGGAATACTAACAAAACAATGACATGTGAGGGAGACTCACCTGTACAGCTCCAAAAACTCTGGATAGGGATTTATAGGATCCAATGGCCCATAGATAAAATGAACTAGGAAAGAGAAGAGGAAAGAATTCTTAACAGCTTACATCTATTCTCCTATTACTATCCTAAAATTAACTCCCTTCCATAAAAAAGATTGTCTTCAAGTAAAACTTTTTATGACAGAAAACTTAGCTTCTTTTATTTAGGTAGTCTATAAAGAACTTCTAGTAATAAGCCAGTCAGTTCATTTGGCACATTTTCTCCCACATACAATCATTTGGTCCCTTTCTCCAGCTCCTCTGTGCCCTGACCAAAAGGAATAAGCCCCACTTTCAATATTCAAGTCTCTTCCATTATAACTTCCCATGACATTTGAAATCAACCAATAGTTTCTTGAGCACTAACTACGAGGTACTATACTGACTAAATTTTTTAATTTGTAAGAATAAAGAGACAAATAAAGCATAAGCTACCTATAGTCTCTTGGTTAATAATCTCAACAGCCTCCTGTCCCAGAAGTTCAGCATTGGATGTAGAAGCCACAGACGCCAGCAGTACCAACTGGATTTGCAATATTGCTCCAATGCCGTATACACCTCACTCTGCATGTCACAGTTGTTCTGGATACTGGAAGTAGGGTTGCCAGTGAAATGAAGGATGCCCAACTAAATTTGAATCTTAGGTAAAAAATTAATTTGGTATGTTGTTGCTATTGTTTGGCAGGGGGCATATGTATGTCCCAAATATTATACAGGACACACACTAAAAAGTGTTAGGGCTGGTAGAGTGGCTCAAGTGGTAGAGCACCTGCCTGTCAAGGATGAGGCCCTGAGTTCAAATCCCAGTACCGCCAAAAAAACTATTTATTGAAAATTCAGATTCAGCTGAGTATCTTGTATTTTTATTTGCTAATCTGGTAATCCTAATTGGAGGTCATACAAGCTGTGGTTATTTTAACTCCCATCGTCCCTAAGTTTTCCTATCCAGAATATAAAACATTCACACATGCACACACACACAAATACTCACTGGGAATAGTGACAGAGGCAAGTGCTCCCACCCAGCGTCTTCTAAATTTCTTCCTCTGATTGATATACTGTAAAAGACTATAGCACAGATAAGTCGGCAGGAGAGCAAGAAACCTTTATTAGTGCAATTTAGAAGTCTAACAGGAGCTACCAGGAACATTTCTGACTCCATAAGCAACTTGGAATTCCTGGGAATAGCCTACTTTATTCTTTGTCACCCACCGTGCGGATACAGCAGGGATCATGCCTGCTACCAACATAAGCATTATGGTCGTGTGCATCTATGAAGCAGGGAGCCAGATCTAGGAAGGCTAAGAGTTGATGTGGAGTATATGTGACCAAAGCCAGGGTTCAAGACTAATTGGCTCCACTACTAACCAGGTCTGTGACTCAAAACGTAACACATATCCTTTGACCTCAGTTCCTCATTTTTTGAAATAAGTTGATGTCCACCTCTAAAATTGAGTTCCTGAGCACAAAGCTTCATGTACGTACTTCGCGTGACCATCGATAGAATGGGAAGAAGGCCTTTTCTTACAGTGTAAGATGCCACTGCCACACCGCGGCACTCAAACTCAACAGTTCAAATTGTTCTGCCTGAGAACTCCAGGACAGTTATTTCTGTGAACGTCAGGTATCAACTCTTACAAATAGTATTTCTGGGCAATAATTTCAGCTATGCAGAGGCAGAGAGGGAGGATCATGGTTTGAGGCTAGACCAGATGAAAAAGACCCTATCTCCAAAAACAAACCAGGTATGGTAGGTCACATCTGTAATCCCAGCTATATAGGAGGTGGAGGTAGGATTGTGGTCCAGGACTACACAAGACCCTATCTGAAAAAATTAAAAAGGTCTGGGGGTGTGGCTTAAGGGGTAGGGCACTTGCCTAGCAAGCACAAGGCACTGAGTTCAAGCCCTAGTATCACGAAAGAGAGAGCAGACTATTTACTCTTTGCAAAGGAAAATAAGAGAATTTTAAAAGAGATGTGTGTTTAATTTTTTATATTAAAAGGAATCTTTAGGGATCTTGTAGGGGTTGGCTAGGAGGAAAGTGCCCTCTGATGCAGGATTCTCAAAAAAGCCATCAGTTAAAACACTGGCAGCTCTACCAACCCAGCTGGCCTCATCACAAGTAGCTGTGATTAACACCATTTCTAGTTCCTTAGTGCAAGCGGCTATGGTCTCATTTGAACCAAGGCACGGGACCCTCTGTATAAAGATACCGAAGTCTTTTGTCTCAGTCCCTGTTGTTACCAGAAAGATACGCAAAAGGAAGAACCTTACACTTGGAAAGCAGTATGAGGCTTCTTTCACAGGATTTCCTTTCACTATGATTAAACACTTTGCAACATTTAATATCAACAAGAAGCCTAAAGAAGCATGTGCCAGTCAGTCGGTCACAAGCTGAATTAGTGTTAGAATTCACAGCTGTTTATCCATACTTTTTGTGCCTAATGGCTAAGAGTCAGAGCTCATCCTGTGCTTGATTTCTGTTTCCTTGGAACGTACAAGCCTTTAGGTGTGCCTCATGTTCCTAACTACACTTCTTGTGACAGGGAACCAGCCGACAAGAAACACAGCAAGCAATCCTGCATCCTTCCTCACTCTCCCAAAGAGCCTGATGGGAGCTCAAGTCAGGGCTCATCTCTTACCTGTCGATGACCAGGTTCCCGTCGTTGTTGCGGATGCCAGCCCACATGTCCCATAGCTCACTCTCGGAAGGTCGCGTGTATGGTCCAAAGACTGGGGTGAGACTGAGGAGTGCGAAATGCAGGAAAATAAGTGTGGGGAGAATTGAGAATGTTAAGTATGACTGGAACCTCAGAGGTCATGCAGTGTGACCCTTCACTGATTTGCGAATCCCTTCTACTACCTCCCTGGCAAGGAGCCGACACCTTTGCTTGAGACTATCAAAGCCCAGTCTTTGGCAGAACTGTGATGGCAGCAACACCACTCTCAGGCCGCACAGAGTCTCTGATAATAACTCACCCTCGGGAGAACACGAAGAAGTTCATCAGCCGGGTGAGCACAGGCGACAGCACGCCTCCATCTTTCAGCAGCTGTGGGTAACGAGTGAGAATATGAATCCAGAACCCAGAGAAAGATGGCGCCTACCAGGACAAAAGCGTCTATGCCTTTAAGGAACTAAAAAGACATTAGCCAAATATACTTCTACTAAAAAATGAAGTATTTGGCTTTTTTGTTGTTATTTTACCAACCTATATTCCTCTCTCATGGAAGACAGATGTCTTTCTAATTCCTTTTAATATTATATTTCTACACTTTACTAAATTCTTAATACTTTTTAAAAAAACAGGGTCTCTCCGTTACCCAGGCTGGACGCCAACTTCTGGGCTCAAGCCATCCTCCTATCTCACAGAAGCTGGAGCTACAGGTGCACACCACCATCCTCTGCCATAAAGCCCTAAGATTTTTAACTCATACATTGTTTAGACCAGGATCCCAATTTACTAAAACACGGCTTGTGGCATAAATCTTTACATAGTTGTATACTCCAAATATTTGTCCATCTCTTATTTTTAGAAATAGTTTTCAGTTTTGTGTGGGAGCAACTTCCCCTGCTTTGTTTTCATCAGAAGCGAAAAATTAGCTTCATACATGTGAATTCCTAAGGAGGAAGCTTTGAACTAATCACATCACAGCAGGTGTGGCCCTCAAAAGTCCCCAGCTTTATGTCAGCCCAAATCTTAAGGCCAAGTTGCTATTTCAGTGGAGTTGCCAACCTTTTGGAGAAGGAGAGGACGATGAGTCTCAGGAAAGATACCTGTAGAAGGAGAAACTTCTCTTAGTTACCAACAACGTTAAGTAACTAAGTAATGAACGCAAGTTCATTACCTGAAACTGTCCACCCTATTCACTGCCACCTTTGGGCCTTACTGCCAAAACAAAATTACAAATAAACGCTTAGTATAGTCATACACTGAGTAACAGCTCTCAGTCAGCATCGGAGTGAATGTATGTTAAGTGAGGCATGACCGCACAGTCATCTGATATGTATGTCTCTAAGAAATTCTGTTTCACCAGTCAAATTCTATACCCCTGGAACTATTTTCCCCATTATACAGGTAGAGAAATGGGAGAGATCATTTATATGGTCATCCATAAAGATGACAACGAGGTTCCAGCTCTTCCTCGCCTTGCTCAGAACACATGGTGGAGTTAATGGTCTGGATTCTACACACATACCATGCACAGGCCACATGTGCATGAGGCTGTCAGTGAGTGTAAATCCTAAAAAAAAAAAAAAGCTACTTTTTCCTTTTCCATTGCTCAAGAGCCAGTGGAAGAAAGCCATGAGCATCACTGGTAAAGGCACAGACTCTTCTCCCAAGCTGCACTTAAAGCCTGCATTTGGAGATGCTTGGATAGTCATGGATTTACAAGCTGTACTCAATGGCACACAAAAGAAACCTCTCCAAAAGGCCTGCTCTCGAATTTCTGATGCTTGGCACCGCCATCGATTATAGGGCTTAAGAATCTAATGGTACAGATGTATCCTCAAGCCTGTTCCTTCATAACCCACCACAGGGTTACACAGCAAAACTGTTGCCCTCACTCACTCCTAATCAAGAGCAGTTCGAGACCCGCCACTACATCTCTCTATCTAAAGTGCTGCAGAGAAACACATGTCACTGTACTGTGGCTATGATCACATGTCAACAGAATCACTTTCTTTGGTCATCCTCTATTTTCTATATTTGAAAACATCCTCAGAAGGATCCATAAATGTCATCAGGTCACAAAACTGCACAAAAACTTTAAAAGATCCCCTCATTTACTTGCATTTGCTTCCAGTATCATCAGATTATCATTTATATGTTCGAGTGACATGTAAAGGTGGCCTTTCTACCTACCACCAAGGCAATTACCTCCATTTGACAGACAGAGACTCTTTATGGTAAGCCGGCCGGATCGATTCTGCTTGTACCTGAAGCATGGAATAGAGACACACAGGCAGCTGAGTGGCATCAGTGCAGTGGCTAAATACAGCATCCACTCCATGCCACACCACCTTGTCCCCTACTGCCCACCCTGACCCCCAAGGGGAAGGGCTAAGAAAGGTCTGGGAACATACTTTCCCAGCGTCTTCAGCAAGTGCAACCTGTGACGAGTTCAGAAGTTGCTTCACTAACCTGTACAGCAGCTCCTGAGCAACAATATCCCCGTAATCGTGAGACAGCAGGTTGATCCTGCGGTTCTGGAGCCCCAGGTGCCGCAGGAGTGCCTCCACTATGCTGGCCTGCTCAAATATGGAGTAGTGATGCGGTCTCTATGGGAAGGAAAGGCCAGAAACGCAGCATAAAGTCACAGGTGCCTAAGCCATCCATCTACATCCATGCCACCCGTCACTGGTCACATACACCACTGCTTACCGGTTTGTCACTGAAGCCAAAGCCTAAGAAATCAAGGGCGATCACTCGATGAAACCTCAAGGTCAGACCTTCCCAAATCTGTAAGAAAGGAAGGAATAAAGGGACTCTGCTCCCGTGCCTCCCCCTTAACTCCCAGCAGCACAGAAGCTTCGTCCCTATTTCAGCTAAACAGATGCATCAATGGGACGAAAACCTTGTGAACCCTCCACAAGCCTGCAGATGATCCTGTGGAAAGGGCTTGGTTCCTAGCATTTAATCTCTATTGAGGGCGGAACTCCAACATTTTTAACTTGGCAGTGATCCTTTCCAGACTGCCAAAGAGTTTTTTACTCCCTTACAGAAAATGAGAAACAGTTCAACATTTAATGCTATTTTATTAAGCAAATCAAATTTTTTAAGGGTCTTCCAGTGCTGACAAGAAAATCCTTGATTTTGGATTTTTTTAAGATATAGTAGGACTTAGAAATCTGACTTCATTACCTTGTACCAATCATAGCTGGATGTGGGAAAGCCATGTAAAAGCACGACTATCTCAGGACTTCCAACCACACCCACAGAGTCTGGGAAGAAGGAGAGAGATTGATTAGGCCAACTCCATATGAAAAAAAGCTTGAACATGTTAAAATCTAAGTAATATGGTACAGAGAACAAGAAACCATGACCAAATTGATAATAAGAAAATGACACATTGCTTTTTAAAATACAAGCTTATTGTTTTAGGTAGAAAGAGGAATATTCCTTTAATCTGTATATTTAAAAATTGTAAGTAGCATACTTTATGTGAAAATATTTGAAGGCAGCTCACTTTCAACTAGATTTTTTAAAGGCATATCTCCATTTCCCTTTCTTTTGTATTAATATTAATTTTTTCATAGTAAAAAATAAATTTTCAGTTAAAATACATAATCACAATATACAAACTAAAAAAATCCTTCTACCTTATCACTAATACATCACAAAAACTCCCTGAGATACAGCAGCTCTTCCCAGTGAGCACTTTAGCTATGCTGTTCGATCAGCACTTTTTATTTCAGTAGAGGAGACCCAATCCAGTATCAAAAGCTAATGCTCAAACTATTACCAAATTCTATTAACAACAACAAAAAAAGGTTAATATCAACATGAACATTTTTGACAATATTCAAAATGCATCTGACAATATGGAATCATGAAACATTCCTTAAATTAGCCAAACAGTAAAATGCTTTGCCAACTGATACACTGTCAGTGGTAAGCAAATTTGGTAATAAGGTTTCCAAAATATGAATTAACTAGAAGCCATTAAAATTTTATATACTTTAGCATAGGAGCATAGTTCTTAAGAATCCTATACAAATAACTAATCTGTGTAACACTAAATATTGAAAATCTGGAAACAAACCAAGAAACCAACATAAAGTTATATACTTACTTAATTGAATATAGCAAATGAGAGGAGGTCAGGAGCAATAATGAAAAACGGTTTATGACAAACATTTTTCGTTATTGCTCTTGACCCCCGCCCAAAAGAAATGTTTTCCAACTTTTTTCCTCAGTTTCTTCACCTACAAAATGAGATCAGTGGCGCCTGTCTTCAAGTGCTAGTCTGAAGATTAAACGAAACAGTGAATGTAGAAAACCTGACTCAAGGCCTGACGTGTGGTAATTACGTGTGGTAATTACATGAAAAGCAACATTCGTGATAATCGTTAGTAAATGAATTTAGGTACGACAGTGGAAGGCTTAAATCACATTTAGGTACACATATAACAAAAGGATAATTCAATAAAACAAAATCAGGGATGCCGCCCCCCCCCACCACCAATAATACTCCTATCTTCCAACACTGTACATATTACCTGACACTAGGGGCGCTCAAAAGAGAAAACTAGTACCTGAATACAAGTCAGACTAGAAAAAATTTCCACTGAAGTCAGATGCATGCAGAGTGGACTCAAGTCCACCCCTCCCTCCCAGAGCTTGCTGAGTCCTTCTGCTCCCAAGTGAATGAGGGAAATTAGCCCAGTCCTTCAAGTATACTACTCAGAAAAAGGGGTTACTCCCCTCCATCCCTAAGGGGCACCAAAGGCCAAGGGACACCGCTAAGTACCTCAGCTGAGACTTAGCGTGTGTCCCACGCCCACAGGGTTTTCCAACAGTCCAGCTCTTACCTTGGTAGAAGATGCGCAGTCCCTTGTAGGTAAAAAACTTGCCAGAAGTCTTCCATGAGTGCAGGGCAGGGGAGAGCTGAGGGGGTGGGATGTGCAGGTACGCGGCCAGCAGGGGCACCGCCAAGAGCCCCACCTGCACCCACCATTCCCTCATCCTGTGGAAGAAGCAATGGGGGTAACATGGACACTTCCACAGACTAGAATGACAGCTCAGGGTGGGAAACCTCCATGCCATGCAGTGACTACACTGTCCTCCAGAGGACCACGGCAGGACATTTACCAAGAAAAAAAATGATAGCATCTCCCCTTGTAGGGCAGTCATCATATGTGCTCATCATTCTAATTTGAAGGGGAGAATGTATCACTTCACTATGTAATCTTCCCCTCTGCTCCCCACTTTAACCCCGCAACCCTCCTCTTGTGCTCTTCCTCGTGATACCTGCTAAAGAGCTCTCCCTGGCCTTTATCAAGCTTTCCCAGGGAAAATTAATAATTTCCCTCATATTAACTCTAACAACTTTGCCAGCTATAGACCATCCCCCACCAGAAAAAGGTTTTTTTCACTGCTAATGCCTTTAACTATAGACAGGTAGCAAGGAGGATAAGATGGATGGATGGATGGATAGACAGAGTAACTTATTGCCTGGCTTTCAGCAGAGAGCTGTTCCTGATTTTGAAAACATCAACTCTTGGGCCAACTGCAGCCCCACGGGGGCTGAGAAAGCGTCAGAGTAGAGTCTGAAAGCAAGAAGACAGAGGCAGCCCCCGTTCCTCCAGACATAAGCAGCTTTGTTATGGCCCTGAAGAGCTAATCTCCTGGGAAGTCTAGATGGCACATTGTATTTCTGCTTGTCTTAGTAGACCCTTGGGCAAGTTCCCATGTATTTAATTTATAAGACATCCCCCCACACGTCCCCCCACCCCAAATTAGGCAGAGCTCATACCCAGCATGCAGGACTTGATTTTGTCTTTGGAAGGAGAGCACTGGTGTCTACACCCAGCCTGGCCATGCCCAGGACTTCAAAGGTCCAGATCAGTTTATCCACACTGAGGACAAGAGCTAAAGAGGAATTAGAAACAGTTTCTTCTCTGTCCAGTCTGTGACTCCCCATGGTGACTATGGAAAGGGGTTATCAGCAGGTTTCTCAAAACAGAATGGAAACAATACCCTCCAAAAGTAAAAATTAGAACTGTCAAGAAAATTGCTGCAAATACAGGAAATTAGTTGCTAAACCCTCCTGGAGAGGGCTGTGCATCTGTCCACACACCGCCTGCCACCGTATTACCTGTAATCTGGCTGCAACCCCTACCCACCGCAAACTCATCTCACAGTAGTAAACGATGCCCTTAATGAATCTCTAGCCTCTGCCTGTTTTAGGCATGGCTGGGGCAGTCTTCCCCCCTCCAAGTACCTGCTCAGAAAACAATCACAAGGACTTGGTTCTACCTTTCTAGGCAATGCTAGACATGACTGGGAAAGTGCGGGAACATGACGGTGAGATCACAGCCGGTGCCCTGCAACAGCAGCAGGCTCCATCCGATGCCTCCGTGAGAGGTAAATGACAAAAAGCACTAGCGCTGCGTCCCGTGCCTCGGCTCACACATTTTCACGCCGCCCAGGGCTGACCATTCCCGACCCGGCAGCGGAGTCTGCAATGACTCAGCAAAGCACCAGGGAGGGGCTCCGAGGGCGACAAAGGGGGGCTCCCAGGTGGGGTGAGGGCGGCAACTACTCCACTCCCGCGCCCCAGCGCTGCACCCTGCTCTTCTACTCCGAGAAACAGGATAACCCCTTGGGGACCCAGCCGGCTCTGTCTCAATCACCGTCATAAAAATGCCCCAAGGACATTTTAGGATTCTTTGTAGGGAAGCAATGTGACAATAGGCAAAATGGATTAAACAAATATTTTAAGTCAAAGCCCCATTATTTGATCGAGCCAAGATTCTGGAGTATAAATGCAAACTCTAGCAGCAAACTTTTTGGAATTTATCGGTCTTTCTGAGCCTTGATTTCTTGTTGTAAATGGGCAAAGGTACATTCATGTGATTCCACCAACCTGCCGAGAGCATGGAACCAGCCGCAGACTGGAAGCAAACACCCGAAGGGAGCAGGACCCGCTTGTCGCGGCCACTCGTGCCACCTCGATGCACGCTCAGGAAATCTCAAGTCACTCCGCGGCAAGACCAAGGTCTAGAAACCCCAAATCATACTAGGGCGACACCGAGGCTAGAAACCCTAAGTCACGCCATAGCGACGACCGCGCTAGGTCTAAAAATCCTAAATCGCACCTGGGTGTTCCCGGGGTCTAGAAATCCTACATTGTGCCACGCGAGTACAGGATCTTAAAAATCCTAAATCACACGATGGTGATGACCGGGTCTAAAAATCCTAATTCGTACCTGAGTGATACCGGGCTCTAGAGATCCTAAATCACACTAGGGTGAGTTTGCGGCCTGAAAATCCTAAATCTCACGCAAGCGATCCTGGGGTTTTTTTTAATCCCAAATCGGGAAGACCCTGAGTTGGGAACATCCTACCCACCCTCAACGAGAAGGTTTAAGTGGTGGCTGGGTCTGCAGGGTGGGGTTCTCTGGCGAGCCAGTCTTGGCCACAGCAGTCGGTCCCCAAGCCAGCCCGCCCGATCCCGCCACACCCCCTCTCGCAGCACCGTGCAGCACGGGGCGGCCACACGGCCACGCACACCCACCTGCGGAGGCGATCTCGGCGCACCATGGCCGCGTTATCCCATGCCGCCCGCCGCAGGGTTGCGGAGCACTGGGCGCGGCGCGGCGCCCGCAGCCGTGCAGGGTCGGTGGCCGCGGAGGCGCAGCACACGGCCCGCGCAGGGCAGCCCGCGGCAGCAGCAAGCAGCCACTTGGGCGTGCGCTGCGGCACTGCGCCCACTGGCGAGGCGCGGCTGCCGCAGAGGAGGCGCCTGGGCTGCTGCTGCCTGCGGAGACTCGCCTGGATGTGCTGGTGGCCGCGGCAGTGCAGAGCGAGTGGGCACCGACTTTTAGAGCCCACCCGCGCCCCGCCCCTGGCCCGCCCACTGTGCTGCAGCGCCCCTCCCGCTTGCTCCCGCCGCAGAGCCCCTCCCCGCAGCCCTGCCACCATCGCAGAGATGGGGCACCCCTATCACGGACACCTTCAGTGGTGTGGACCCTCCCCCCAGCACCCTGCTGCTCCCTCGCAGACCACCCCCAACCCTGAGCTCCTGGCCCTGGTGAAGACACCCTTCCCTGGGGAGTTAACGCTTCGCGCACAGATGGCCAACCCCTGAGACCCCCCAGCCCTACCCCCCTTGGACCACCCAAAGGCCCCCGATTATGAAGGGTGACCGCTTGACCTACCAAAGAGGATGGGATACTTGCCGTGGTGCCCACTCTCATTTCACACCCAAAGCGTGGGTGCCAAACCCTGTGAGTGCACGAGTCCAAAAGCGTGGGCCACAAGTGCCAGAAACCCCCTCAGCCCCTAACTATAGGTGACCATGAAGGAAGAGAAGAGCACACCAAGTGACTATGGAAGGCAAGCTCTCCAGGACCCGCCATCAGGGCTAGTGGGCACAATCACGGGATGGCCGCTATGGAGCAAAGCTGCCCAAAGTTGCAGAAAGTCTGGTTTCGCTCGCTCAGGCCACCACGGGAGCGCCAGGCACATTTCCTCTGCAGCAGCAGGACGTGGTCAGCATGCCAGAGGCCCCTGCAGCAAGGGTCCCACGCGGCACTGGACGGGCCCCACGATCGGGAGAGCAAACGCCCCTTTATGTACATGCAACGCAATCACAGTGCAAGGGTCCTAGAGGGGAGGGAAATCGTAGATTTTTTAATCTACGATCCTTTAAAAGGCATCTGTTAGGCCCGTGAAAAGTGCAGAGCAACACAGAGCATGTGCATTTTCTGGCTGTAAATTGCAGTTCTAGGGACCGCGCGCTAGCGAGCGAGGCGCGGGTCGGTCCAGCGGGGGCGCTGCAGGCCTCTTTTCGCCCGCTGCTCCCCAGCTCCGTGGCTCCGCCGCCAGCACTGCAGGCGGGCTCAATTCCACAAAGGCGGCCGCAGGGCCAGCCGAGCCTGCGGGCATCGATCTAGCTGTGGCCAGGGGCCCAGGGCCACCCACTCCACACCGAGATGCCCCTACTTAAGACATCAGAACCTGTGGCACAGTACAGGGTATGCTGCCACCAGGATCCCTCCAAGAGGAGCATGAAACAAAATGCTTGCCCAGCACCTACGGCGAACTAAGCATGGGGGGTACACGCAAAGGAGCAATGGCTCCTGCCCTGGAGAAACACGCTGGCCACCTGGAGCGGGACACCAACAAGAACCGATGCTTTTTTTTTTTTTTTTTCTTAATTTCCTTTGGATTTCCTAGCAACATCTTTGTGACTGGTCGGCCCGCGCTTCCTTAACGCGGAAGGCAGAGCTCACAGCATTGTTCACCTTTATATCCCCGCAGCCCGCCACGGTGCCGGCCACAAAGCGGCCCGAACACACACCGCATGAATGAGTACAAGAATCTGAGGACGCACACGGGAGGAAGTAATTAGGGGGAAGGAGGAAGGCTTGTCTTGAGTGATGAATAGACATTTACCAGAGAGACAAAGAACATTCCAGCCAGAGGGGTGGGCATTCCCACAGCACCGGAGACTCGGGGCCGCACAACCTCCACGGAAAACAGTGCTTCCTTTGGGCGCCGGCACCAACCGGCAAAAAACTAGAGTAGAAAGAGTAGTTACTAAGAGAGTCTGCAATTCTTCCTGAAGAAAACGAGAAGCCACTGACCGATTTAAACCCTGCCCGGCCTTAATTGATTACTTAACAAAATTTAAATTAGTCCCTTTACAAGTAGAGGATTACCTATACTAACTAACTACCACCACCTTTTGAAGAATGAATTACTTAGGAAATGTAAATAGGTCCTTTCAACACAGTAAAGGCATTCCGATTTGAACTGACAATGACAAGAGACTTTGCATTGTATAGTTCTCATATCTGTTGTCAATGGAACCTTTGAGTCCTACAAACAATTCCACACTTTCATTCTCACCAGGCCAGAAGCACAGGCATCCGAGATGAAGGCAATTTTCTAATTCATAGACTGAATGCCCCACAAAGGATCTTATTCTGAAGGCCATGGAGCAAGTCTACCCACATGGAACAAGTTGGGGGGGTGGGGAGAAGAGTTTAAGTCCCCGGAAGGAAGGGGAAGGTGGGCAGCAGGAATTCCAAACTCTGGGCTCAGGAGAAGCCTTCCTGCACAAGGTGGCCTAGGAGCAACTTCACCAGCGAAGGAGGGCAAGGAACCGAGATCTTGGTTAGGTGGGGAAAGTGCTCCCGTTTGGAAGGCACAGAGGCAAGGAGTCTGGAAAACCATGGAGCAGGCTATGAGATCAGTTTAGCTCAAGCTGGGAATTTGCTTTCAGAAGTCCAGGGAGAAAATGCGGCTGCGATGCCCCAGAAACCAGAGCTAAGGAACCTCTAACCACGCCTGACTGCCCTCGGAGAGGAACTTCCTCCACAGAGGGAGAAGCTGGTCCAAGATGTAAAACCCTCGGAGCGCCTGGGAAGAGCGTGCAGTGTTCCTAAATGCAGTCTGCCTCTGGCTTGCTCTTGGGGCACGCTCTCACTTCTTCCAAGCAGACACCATGCTTGGCCAACATCACGGTCAGCCGTGTTCCCCTGGCCAGCAGCTTATCAGACGTTCCTGTCACATTCCAATTCTAACGGGCTCCATATCATACGTAAGACTTGAGATCTGTGTAAAAACGAGCATAGAAAGGCTACATTTACCATCTCGCTGATGTACAACCGTGGTAACAGACCAGCAGGGCTGGTACTAAGAGCTCAATAATCATATTTTTTCTAACCCCAGTTTAGATCCATAATATGACAAATCCAAGGATATTTCTTAAGACAACAGGACAGAACTGTGACTGCCATTTTTAAGAGCCACAATTACAGATTTAAATAAATCTCTTTTTTTTTAAAGTTCAGAATGGGAAAAGCTAGATTGAACAACAGACTAACTAGGGTTTTAGTTGAAAAATGGTTCAGTGTGTGACCCAGCTCCAAAAAAGCTACTGTGACAATAGACTACAGAGAAGTACCCAGAATAAGCCAAACCTATGCCATTATGCCAGTTAGAACTCAGTGTTTTATTCTGTTCTACAGAGCACATATTAAGAGACACATAGACAAACAGTAGTGTGTTCAGAGAGCCACTAAAATGTATTGTCAATCATGTCACTGAAGATATAACAGCACACATAGTTTAAGCTCCTACTATGAGCACAATCATCACCCAGATTGTCAATATATATATACACACATAGATATATACACATACATATATCTCCCTGATCCCCACAGGAGGCAGCTAGATGAGTGTTTCCATTCACACATCTCAGAGAATGATACAGCACCTCAGAGCACCGTCTGAGCAAGTGAGGGGGTCGGGGGCTGAATGCAGATGTGTCTGGCTCCAGAGCTGGCGTTCTTTCCTCTGTCCCACACTGCCTCCCTGTTTGAAATAACTGGGCATGTTTAGTTTGAAGAAAGGAGCCTTGTGGAGTGAGTGGAAGAAGGAATGTGTTAGCAGTCCTCAAATATTTGTGGAAGCAGCGTTAGACATTTTATTCTGTGTGGCTCCAGTGACTGCAAACTGTAGAGAAACAGATGTCAATTCAACATAAAGAATTCTCCAACAGTCAGGGCCGTCTAGTGGGGTTGAGTGGCTCAGCCATTTTGGGACATGACAAGTTCCCTGTCACTAGGGGCTGGGAAACCCTGAAGCAGTTATGGAAGGTCTTGGTATCTAATTGAATGAATGACCTTTAAGGTATTTTTCCCATCAGATATAAACTAAGGCTCAGAGAGATACTGGAACTTGGTCAAAATGACCTCTCTACCCAGGGGACACAGTCTTCCCTTAGGTATGTCCCTGAGCCCAAAACTCTGAAAAATGGGCTGCTTCATACTGAATACAAGCCAAATGGAAGAAATTATCAATAAAACCACATCGACATCTCTTGACCAAATTTAGCCAATTTATTCCTAATGTGATTGGTGGGTAAAAATTTTGGGTAAAATTCTTTGTACCAAAAAAATTCCAAAGCTGAGTGGTAGAGAAGGGAAGAAACGGAGAATAAACCCTTCAGCTCAAATGAACACCTTGACACTGCTGCATCCGGGTCCTCCTGACACAGGATTCCGCACCTGGGGGCCATTGTAGCCACTCAAACAGATCAAGAGGTTGAAGGATTCTAAATTAGCTAATGGTATCTTTAATTTTTTGCAGCTCTTTAGCCCTCCACGTCGTTATCTCCTTCACTACTCGCCACAGTCCCCTAAAGGAACATGGCTACTTTCTTTCAGACAGGCAGGCAATTTCTTCCCAGCTGGCTGCCTGAGGAAGAAAGGCTGCAGCATGCGACTCTTTGTTTTTTCCCTTTTCTTTCTTTCTTTTTTTTTTTTTAAACTACCTTCCACATTATTCATCCAGCCGGGATGAGTCACCCCTAGCAGGTGTTCCGCGTTTCTCGCTTGCTCTCGTCACTCACACCTTCCTCAGCTGTCCTCCCCTTGCCATCCACACCGTCCCTGCTCTCTCCTGCCCTGGGTCCCCACGCCCACCACAGGCTGGGGTCCCCAGCTGCGCCCTAACCAGAGAAGCATCCCGCCACCTCCTGCCCCGCCCTCCACCCCTCGGCCACCCCGGGTGCCGGCGACCTTCGCGACCACCAAGGCCGCCTCCCAGAGCGCAGTCCTGACGCCAACGGGACGCCGACCCGCTGGAGGGAGCCAGGCCTCGGGCCAGGGCCGGGCCTTTGTGTCCTGGGAGACGCCGCGACGCCCTCGCCCACGTGGCCCGCCTCGTGCCGGCACCCACGCCCCTCCCCCCCAGCCCCACGCCGCACGCACGTCCTCGCGCCCCCGGGCCACTGTCACTCAGCCGGGTCCCGGGGCTGACATGGCCCGCGCACGC